AATTATTTAGGAGCAGCCCGTGGTGTAAATCAAAAACACGAGTGTTTGTTTAAGAAATAAGCTCCTTGTGCATAAAATGACTTTTTTTTCTTTAAAGAGGAGGGGGGGAAACCATCCCTGAACACAATGAGCTGGTGCTGAAGCTCTGTCCCTCCACAGACACTCCCTTGCTTCTTCTGCCCTTACCTTTTTTGAAGGTGTAAATGGTTCTTTTGGTAAGAAGTTTTATGCTTTTCCTTATCAGACAAAATCCATTTCTCTCAACAGCCTCTGCTTGTTTTTATTGCATTTTGAACAGTCAGCTCTGATTTTTATGGGCATCTTTTATTCTTGTGTTTATTAAACTTCTTCACATGGGGGTTAGAGTGAGGGATAAATTATTCTCTGGTAGTTTTTGAACTGAATAGGCCATACGATCTTCCTCAAATATATAACTCTGTGTCCTGGAGCGTGCCCTGTCCACTTTGTACACAGGCATCTGGATTAAAAGGTTTTGAGAGCTGGGAAGCTCTTGTTGGCACTTTGTTCTTTCTCTATAATAATAAGCAAAAAGGATAAGCAAAAATATTCCTCTATGGGAATTAGGGTAATTTCAGGTGCTTTATCTCTGACTGGAAATTGTTTAGCAAGTATAGTCTTGTGCTTGTTCGTTTCTTTTATTAGCAAGAAGATCAAGACAGCTGAATTGATGCATCCCTGCTCTGGTGTTAAAGGGAAGGGAGTTTCATATAGGACAACTGGGTAAGGAAGGGTTGGGTTTATAGCAGTGCTTTCACATGCCATTAAGAATTTTTCAGATCTCTCTTAGAAGAAAGTCCCTAGCCATTCCACAGTTACCCTGCTGCTGCTCAACCCGCTGGCTAGGAACAGCCAGGTTGCACAGGAGACTTCAACCTGGAACTTTTTCTTTTGAACCCTTGGTTTTTCAGAAGGACAAAAGTTCTGAGGAAGCTGTCACATAGATTTGCTTGGAGTACCTTGAAATAGTAAATGTAGGAGTGTTATAAAGAGAGTGGACCTGGTAATGGATCTGTATAAGCCTCTGGCTCTGTAGGTTCCTATTGTTACTGTGTTCGGGGGCACAGCTGAGGGGAGGGACAGGGTGCTGATGTTTTTTTCTTTAAGCGTGTTAATATTGATTTTAGAAGCTCTGTGTTCCAACAATATAAATGCAAATGCCTGTAATTGGGAGCCTTGTGCAGAATTTCTCAACAGAAAACATGTTCAACTTCTCTGACAATGAAAGGAAAATAAAAAGCCGCTTATTTATTGGTGGTGGTTTGAATCCTGGATTTCCTTTCAAGTTACTTTGCAGTGCTAAATAAAATACCTAATTGCAGTGCTCGCAAAATTCAAATGAGTACATTTGTTCTTCTGGTAGCTCGCGGCTATTTGCAGCCTCTGGACACCCTCAGCATTATTTTAGCACATCCATAACTCCTGGTTGTGCTATAAGGAAAAGCTGGCGGTGGGGGCAGAGGGAAGGCTTAGAAGCCCCAAATGCTGCTGGCACAAATCACTGCCGAAGTTGGAACATTTACTCAGTGTTGGAGTGGAGACATGTGAGGATCTCAAGGTAACGCTTGCAGATGATCAGGCTCTGATAGAAGAAAGGAAGTGTCAGTGAATCTCTGCCCTTAACTCCCTCCTGCTGCTTTCCTCCACCTTTCCTGCCTGGGAAGAAGCAGTGAAGGTCCTTGAAAGAAGGGGATGGAGCTGAGCATGTTGAGCTCACCGGGCTGCTGTGAAATATGAGAGAGCACCCGGCTGCCTTCCTGCATCACAGTCTCTTGGGGGGTTGTGTGTATGAGTGTCTAAGTGCTCACCGTTTCATAATAATTACTAATGAAATTCTAGATCTGTAATAACATTTCAGATATCTAAAACAAACCATATGCTTGTTAAAAAAAAAGAAAGAGAGAGAAAAAAAGTGGAAACAGATCTACTTTAAGCCATAAATTCTTGGTAATAGAGGCCTCTTTTCTCCCCCCTTTCTGTTTATGTTTGATAGATATTTTTGTTTCTGCAGGAATGTCAACTCTTAATTTCATGATGTATCGTGGGCTTAAGAAAATTGAATTTAATAAAGGCAAAAGATGAATGGCACCTTTAAAGGTCCCAACACTTGTCTTTATTAGCAGGACAAACTGCAGGGTCTCCAAACACTGCTTCTCTCCAAATGAAAGTTTAAATGAAAAGTACAGCAGTGTCACAGGTTAAATTTCATTGCAGGACTGGCTAACGTCGTTAGTGAGGAGTGGGGCTGATTTCATGGGGCTGGTATCTGTTGCCTTAGATACCAGTGGAGCAAACACTGCCAGAGACTGGAAAAATCTCCACTATAGGAAGCGTGCAGATAAACAGCCTTTTGGGAGAGGTTCTTTACCACTTGTTTCAAAAACTGACCCAATAAGCCCAAGAGAGTGGCTGCAGTTTCTCCTAAGACGTTCCAGCTGCCTCTGTGGTTCCACCCCTGTTCCTGGGCATGGACTTCCCACAGACCTACAGTAATTCTGTATTCGGATATTGTTAAATTTTCCACATTTTTTAAGTATGGCTTTTTATTTCCTCTGTCTGTCTTAATCCGACCCTCCTGGAAGTGCTTTTTGCCTTTGGTTCTGGAAGGCGAGCGACGCCTTTGTGTATCAGATCAGCAGCAGGCTGTCTTTCAGTCTTGCTTTGCATCCAGCCAGTTGATGGCCCCTGAGGATGTTTGTGGTCCTTTAGGGCACATCCCAGCATTGCAACACAGCCCTGCTATGAGATCCAGCCGGTGTGTGTCCCTCTCTGGAAAGGGAAATGTTTGTCTTCCCTTGCTGTGAGCTTGCCTGCTTCCATGATCACTCTCTGGGAGGGATACAGGCCTAAGGGGCAGTGAGATGCCCCAGACCCATTTGAAAGATGGAATGGTGTTATTCTGAAGTTAAGCCTGGCTCTATTATGGCAGGCTGTCTGTTAACTTCAAACTTTGCAGTCTGTTTTCCTTCTAAACAGAAGTTTGCTGCTTTCAGAGCCTCTGTGTGGTGGCCCTTTTGAGGAGAGGATCAGCTGTATCCAGCATTTCTTACTCTCTTGGGTTTCCATGGGTCCTTTTGGGTGGCTGAAGCTGGTGAGTTTGGCTGCACCACAACAGGCAATCTGGCTAATACTCAAGTGTTTGGCATGTGTCTTCTCCTTCCCTTGGAGCCCCTGGGTCAAGTTTGCTCTTTTTCCTGGGAAAACTTGGTGACTCCCAGTGGGGTGGTATGGCAGTAGGGAAGGATGTGCCCAGCCATCTGCTCTGCCTCATCCAGCACAGCATGCACAGGGAGTGGCACAGCAGACCATGAGGAAATGCTTAAGCCATGCGTCCTGTGCAGCTTCACTGCTCAATGTCTACACCTGGGCACTTCCACACTGTTAACACTTTATTTGATTTTTACATTTTTTTTCTAACTTTCAATCTCAGCAGCACATGCTCTCCATGTGCCCTGGTCTGGGCTGTGCCCCTGCTGCACTGGGGAGCTGCTCTGCTCTGTCTCTGGGCTCTGCCCACCATGGAAATTGGGTGTTTCTCCTGGCTATTTAAATTATCTGTTGTTTCCATTTACCCACCCAGCTTCTTGCCCTCCCGCTGCCTAGTGGGGTGATGTCATCAGCTCATATATGTAACCTCATGATAATTTCCGCCTGCAGGTCATGAGGGTTGCAACCACGGTCCAAAGAAGTGTATTAGTTCCTCTGCAGCGGCTGCATTTTTCACATGCTAATTTTACTCACAGGAGTTGGATTTTTTTTTTCATTTTTTATTATTTCTTATTTGTCTCTTCCAGATGTTTTCAGGCAGTTTTTTTTTGTTGTTAAACTAATTCCATTCATGTTTTAAAAATTTATGAAAGCACTAATAAAAATGTCAAAGTGGTAAAAATGTTAGCTTTTGCTCTGCTTTGATTAAATTTTGCAAACTGTTTTTGAATATTAAAAAGCAATATTTTTTTTATTCTCTCTCCCTCTCTCTGTTTTTCTCCAGAAGTGATTTGAGAGGCTTGTTGCATGGATATCACTCAGCAGGCTCATTTGCACTCCAGAACCTTGGTGCCATGGATCTCTATTAAAGAACATAGACAAATTATTCTTTAAAGACACCAAACAAATTGTCACTTCTCCTCTTACATTAAACTAGAAGGAAGAAAGGGAGTAGAGAAGGAGGGGGGTGAACACAAAGGATTTTATCGCTTTTATTCAGTGGGTGGCTTTTTTAATTTCATGTATATTTTTTAATAATTGAGAAATCCATCGCAACTGGATTTGTTTAAACTTTTTATTAACAGGTTCATGTAAATTTCTGATTGCTGATTATTCAAATAATTGAACATTCTTCTGATGAAGGAACGTTTTTATTTCCCTATCAGCATAAATTGGCTACAAAGAGGAAAATTAAGCCGGGCTTGCTACTGTGCTGTATCCCATAGGGATGGATTTGGGGGGAGCTTTCAGCTCCTCTTCTCAGTCTGTTGGAGGAGGGCAGTCCTCCTCAGCCTCTCCAGAGAAGGAGGTGCTTCATGCAGTAGTCCCTGTTGTCTGTCTGATGGTGTCCTCTAAAAGGATGGTGGGCTGGAAAGGTTGAGACTGCTCTTGGGGAGGGCACAGCCCCTGCGATGTCCTTGCTAAACAGCTGTGAGCCCATTGCAAGTACAGCTTCATATTCCCTGGGTATGGGAATATGGGAGTGGTGTGAGACCACCTTCCTTAGGTTCAGCTTGGGCAGTGATGTGTGCAGCTGCAGTGCTGAGCACAGAGAGCTCCTTGCAGCCTGTCTCAGCTGCGATGAGCATCAGCACCATTCTCTTCTGTTCTGGTGGTGTTGGATGTGCTCTATGCTGTGGCACCACCTTCCCACTTCTGCAGAGCTTTGAGTTTTTGTTTGGGACTATCAGGCCACCTTGCAGATGGGATAATTTCCAGCTTCATTTCTTGTTTTGTTTTAAATTAACAGCTGCTTTTCTTTTTGCCCTATTCAGGAAATCATCGAATTCCCTATCCTGAAGCTGAATGGCAGGACGATGGAGATCGAATCCACCTTTCACATGTATGTTCAGCCTGTGGTGCATCCCCAGCTTACGCCCTTCTGTACAGAGGTAAAGTGCAAAGGTTTCCTGGTGCTCCAAGAGTCTCTCTGGGAAGCAGGTTTCCATTGCACCAGGGACTCAGGTCGCCTCTTCACGGTGCAGCTGCAAAGCAGTGTGTCATGCCAACCTTGAGTTAATGACAAAGAGAATAATTTTTTGTTATTGCAGTAGTGTATAAAGACCTCAGTTTGGATTCATAAATAACTCTGGCTGTGATCTGCTAACTCAGATAATTGTATTTACAGCTAATAAATGTCTCAATTGGATGACCACCAAATAAACACACTTGTGTTAGCCAATGTTCAAAATCCTGTAACCTCTTTATGAGCTCTTGTGATTCTGCTGTTCTCTTCTATGGTGGGGAAGGTCAAAGAGAGCACGGACTGAGGAAGGACAGTGCTGTGCAGATGTATGGTTCAGAGTCACTAAATGACTCTACTGTGGGCATGTATGTTAGGATTTGGGGAGTCCTTCAGAATAGTAGGATAATTAATGTTTGTATTTTTAAGACTTTTTGATATTGTAATTGTGGGCCACTTGAAATGATTGCTGGAGAATAAATGATTGCTCTTTACTTGCTTACTCTCATTGCTGAGGACAGCTGCTCTTGAGCTGTGGCCACCTTTCCCCAGATATGAAATGAAGGTGGTAAATGCAATTCCTGAGGGTTCAGAAGAGTTAAGGAGCAGGGGTCTGATTTTGTTGTTGATTTGGGGTGGTTTTTTTGTTTGTTTTTTTTTTAATTCAACCCAAAAAGTTAACTGTTTTTCGAAGTGTGTTTTCCCTCTTTGCCATAATCATCAAAAGAAACTTTAAGTTCCTTTTGCTTGAGGTTTTTTTCCTGTCAGTCCATTGATTCGATTTTGAATCAGCTCAATGACTAAAATACTGACAGTGGGAATCAGTGTATTCAAGTTCTTCATTCTGTCCCTGTCTTGTCATCAACACCATGGTGTGTTTTCCCCTACCTCTGTGACTACAGGCTTAAGCCCGTGGAGGGCTTGTCCCACCTGTACTAATCTGATGAAAAATGACTCCTCTGTGTTAGGTGGAGTCCCCTCCAGAACCAACCAGCCCCTTCCATATTTTCACATTGTAAAAACAAATACTTATTTTTATTCTCGTGTAACTCAAAACCGTATGAAGGTATTTTATTTAAACTTAAAAAAAGACTAAGCACAGAAAACATTATTCCCCAGAGAAGAGCTTTCAGAAAGCTATAAATGTGTGAGAACAGAGGGTTATAATGGAGATGGTTTTGCAACCTTAATCCTAGAAGGCTGGGCAACTACTTTGGCTGTCCTTATCCCCACGAGACTTGGTGGACATATGCTTGTACAAATGTGATAAATTTCACAGCTTGCACCTGATCTTTGCTAAAGACAATGTCATCTTCTAGAGCTGAGCGCAAAATGTCGGTCTTGCAAGTCACCTAAATTCTGGAGAGAAGTTGTCTCATTAACTCCCACCAAAACTCCTTCTGGGAATCTCTCTATTGCATCCTTTCCCCTGTTTCTAAAGACTGCAGCTCTGTTCTTGCACAAGAATCTGCATGACTTGTTTGGTGCCTGCTTGTGGTTCAGCTTTGTGAGCTGAACAGAGCCTCCAGCCTGCTGCAATCTAGGGACATTTGGATGTTCTCTAGATGATGACCTTGTGACCAACAGTCAGCCCATCTAATGCTCCTGTACTGCAGTGATGGTTTCTTCAGCTTCCCTTGCTCTTGGGAGTCTGAACCAAATGTTTGTGTCTCCTGTGTGGGGCCTTGAAGCAAGTGAAGCTGAGTGTGTCTGTGTGTTTGTGATGGCTGTGCTTTTGCAGGATGGGCACAGATGTCCCAGGTCAGCATTCTGCTGCAGACTCTGCTGTGAACCTCGGTCTGGCATCATGTCCAGAGTTGGGTGAAAATGGGCAGTACTGAGGCCAGCAGGCAAAATGATTGCAGAGCCCCCACCTGTGTGTATCAATGGTACAAAAAGGCTGCACTACCAGGTTTGGCAAGTCCTCTGTTATTAACAGCATGGATTAGGAAGCTGGTTTTAATCCTAGCCTTGACGTCACTGGCTCCTGGTCACCCCCACATTGTACTTCTTGCTACTTAGTGCCCAGCATGGCCCCTGTCCTTCCTGGCTTGGCAGTCCACTGGCCTGTTGCAGGGGGCTGCCAAGAGGTCCAAGAGTGGGATCGTGGCTGGAAGTTTAACTGGACTTGTTCCTGGGGCCGGTGTATGGGGCTGAGTTTGAAACCCTACCCTGAGAGCCACTGGTGAACCTTACTAAACAGTGGGGTGCTGCTAGGTAGGTGCAGAGATCATCCCTGTGCCACTGGTGTAGGTTTGCTTGAGACCCCAGAGACACAGCCAAGATGTGCTCTTGCAAAGCTGCTGCCTGAACTGCTCCAGCACTTGTTATTGACTTTCTGCTGCTTTATGTTTTCTGAAAAATACTAATTTTGCTAAATGCCAGTAAAGGGCTTTGTCTAGGCACCTCTACTTACAAAGGGTGAGATTTATTGGCCTCTTTGTCTACAAAGAAAGACCAGGCCTGATTATCAGATGGTACACCAGAGACAAGTGCTTAGGTAATCAGCAAACTGTCTTGGAGTAGAAATACGATGATTTTCCAAATAAACTCTCTAGGAAAAGCACTGTTGGTGTTAACATTACATGGGAGCCTGTCTGCTGTGCTGCTGATTTCCCCTCTCTCCTCTGCCTTTGCTAAGCAGTAGAACTGCTTAGTGTAGACTCTGTGTGGAAGGGTTACTGGGGTTGCTTGACATTACTCCTTGGGTTTGGATTACCTCTTCCATCCCTCTTCCTTCTTGAGGAAAACAGCACAGCATGGGAAGGGTACTTGGAAGGGTGGAGAGCTTGTTGCCTCCCTCAAGACATCGCTTTGCTTACCTTTTGGTGTGTCTGTGCTCTCCCCTGTCTACAGGATGTTTCTCCAACTCCCCACATCAATGGCCAGGAGCTGTCTTCCAGTGCTGGCTCGCTCTGAGACTTCATCTCATCCCCTTTCTCCTGGCCTGCTTCTGTAAAACAGCAGGTCGTGACCTTGGTTATTGTGAGGGGTGAGCTGAGTGCTTAGGTGAAGAAGTTGTTAAAAGCTATTATTAGGTGTATAAAGCTCATCATGCCCTTTTGGAAGATCCAGATGATTTTTCTGGTGCCCAAGAAAGTTCTTGCCAGGAGCTTAAGGAGAGGTTCCCTCTACACGCAAGATGCTTGTACAGATCTTTTCACGATACTTTGCTCTCTTTTTATGTCTGATTTTTATTGATTTTTTTTTCCTGAAGGAATAGACAATAAAAATACAAAAGGATAAAGGCATTATAGCTTGCTTATGTTCCCAAGTACCTCATGCTTCTTGGGATAACCAGTGAAATTTTACAATTGTGCAGTTTTATGTTTTTATACTTTTTCAAAGCTGCAAGACCAGATAATGCTGCAGAGATCCAATGCACTAGGTTGGATGTGGCAGATGGACATAACTGATAACAAAAAGTATCAGATGAGAGAGTAGAAATCTGGTCCAGTTTGAGCACTCTGACCTGTATTGAAATGTACCTCTGGAGCAGATACATTCCTTTGTATTCATGTGTGTGATTTCTGCAGTGTGAATCCTGTGTGCGCATGCTTGGCAATGTGTCCTTGTACAGACAGGCTGGTACTTTGCTGGCCTGGCAGGGAAGGACAGAAGGAATTTTGGGCAAGAACAAGCAGTGATTCTTGATGGCACCTCTGCATCTGCCTCCATATCCCCTCCCTCCTCCTAATGGGAAGTGTCTGGATGAGGCCATTATACCCTGTTCTCCCATGGCATGAGGGGTGGAGTGCTCCATAGATACAGTCCTGAGGGTGCCTGGAATGATAGAAACCATTTGCATCAGTACTGGCTAAGATAGTGAAAGGTCACGTGTCATCCTCAGCGCAGAAAAGACTTGGACCTCTTGGAGCAGGTTCAGAGGAGGACCAGGAAGATGAGCAGAGGGATGAGGAAAGGCTGGGAGCTTTGAGGTTGTTCAGTTTGGAGAAGACTCCCAAGAGATCTTATACCTTTTAGTACTTCAGAGGGCCTGTAAGATAGACTTTTCAGCTCGGCCCCATTGTGACAGGACAAGGAATAATGACTTTAAACTAGTCAACTAAGTGTACAGAAGAAGATTTTTACATTGAGGGTGATGAAACAGAGGCAGAGGTTGCCAGAGAGGTAACATTCAAGGTCAGGTTGGACAAGGCTGTGAGTAAGCTGATTTAGTTGAAGATGTCCATGCTCACTGCGAGGGAGGTTGGACTGGATGAATTTTGAAGGTCCCTTCCTAAACAAACTATTTTATGATTCTGTGTTCCTTTCCAAACACACCTTTCAGTCACTTCTAGAGATTTGGGTTGGGCTGCTGTCTGAAAGGCAGAACCAGCACTTTGCAATAGGTGAGCTGTCCACCTCTGCCAGAAGAATACATGGAGAGAAAGATGGCAAGAAAAGCAAAAACCATACCAGTGAGCTTTAAAAACTGCTCTAAAGAGCCGTGCATTAGTTCCTCAAATCTATTTGCTTCTCAGAGTGTGGAAGTCTGTAGGTAGCAGCTGTTAACACAATTAAAATAGAGATTAATATAAAAATAGTTTCTGAAATATAAAAGAGTGTCTGTGTCCCTCCACTTTCCTAAAATTCCATTTCACAATGGCTTGATGGACTTGAGAAACACACCTAGAGGAACTCTGCATTCTTAAAATTAAAATACTTTCCCTAAAAGGTATGTATTGCCATTTCATGGGAGTCACTATGAGAAAATAATCTATCCACTTACAGTTTATTCAGTGAGTCAGGTATTTGGTATTCATTAAATGCCATTACAGTTTAATTGGAGTTTAATATAATTTCTTTTTCTGTCCTCCAAGTTCAGTGCTGTAAGCCAAGCATCCAAAGAAACTGAGAGATAGAAACCATTTAGCTTCCTTCAGTTGCCACATACTTAATAAAGCAGAGCCTGCTGGTTTGTGAGAGGAACTTATGTTGTACGAGTAGGTTGAGCTGGTCTGTGTGGAAGAGTTACTCCTGGGTGATGATGGGGCCATCAGTATCTCTTAACTGGATGCTATGGCTTCCAGAGGTGTGGATGCTTCTAGGTTGTGCTTGACCTTTATTTTATGAAAACGTGTGAGATGTGTAGCTTCAGGAAAGTGCCATATGAAGTGAAATCCCATAGTGTGCACTTGTTTTAATAATGATTTTTTTAATTACTTGGGTGCATTGATGGCAAGCTACTGAACTCCGATATTCAATATGTTAAAAGACAGTTTTGTCAGTTGGAAGGCAGACGGAAAAATTATCTGTTTTCCATGTGCCTCAAGCTCTCCTGGGCAGACACAGGCAGAGGCCCCTGAGACTGCATCTTTTAATGCATGTGTTTAGCTTTGAACAGCCGTGCAGTCGAGGAGCAGTCAGTAGGAGTATCTGTTGGCAGGACCTCTTCTAAGGAACCTACTGGAAAAGACTAGACAGGGCTCTGGAAGAAAGTGCTTTTCTTCAGATTTCATTCCATTATTTTAAAATACAGTTTTGAACTGCTGAGGAATGCTGTGATGGACTGTGGGAATGTGCACATGCTGCCTGCCCTGCTCAGGGCAGGATGACTGGGCCCTCTCCAGGTCTCACTTACCAATACTTCTCTGTTTGGTTCATCTAACACTGAAATTTTGGTGTCACTGTGATAGCAGAGGAATGTCCTGAGACCTTGCTAGTTACCACTGCCTGTGTACATCAAGACAACACCAAAACTGCTGAAGGGCATGTTGAAAAAGGGCATCATGCTGGTGCATGACACTGCTCCCCAAGTGGACCCTGCCATGCTGAGAATTTGCGGTTTTGTGGTGTGGGTAGGAGCCCTGCTATATTTCTGTGTTTGGGATGGAGCTGGGCCCTTGCCTGTGGCTGGGGAGCTACCAGGGTCACTCTGCTGTGGCTGGTTTCTCATCAACACCCATGTGGGTCACAGGAGCATTTTTGGTTGCAGAAAGATGGACAGGAGAGTAGACCTCTCTAACGATCTTTTGAGTGCTGCTCTGGTGACTGCTTTCCGTTTGTCTCTGTTTCAGCTGACTGGGATTATTCAAGGCATGGTGGATGGGCAGCCAAGCCTCCAGCAAGTGCTTGAGGTAAGCACAGTAACCTTTAGTTCTCAAACTCTGACCTCTGGTCTTGTAGTCCCCTCTTCATCTCTTTCCCTGCACCCTCCCCTTGCTGAGAATCGAACCGCGTAATTTGACTATGATTACAGCTTCATTAGAATAACATTTGCTGTCACACTGGTGACACACTGCTGAGATTATTGAACCATTGATCTGTCATCTCCAGCTGTTCATGTCAAGGGTGCTGACAAGATATCCAAACTCCTGCCAGTAGATAGGAGAAGAGGCGATTCTTTCTTGAGCCAGTTTTAAAGCATCAAGACATTGCTCAAGACCACTGCTCCTGGAGATTCTGCTTTCATTTCTTTTCCCCTCCCTCAGCACTTTATTCAATTATTTTTTCTACCTATTTAAATGCTCAATAATACATGTAGAATAGAAAGAAAATGCCTCGGAAATCTAATCTAAAGGATGTGTGAATGCAGATACAGCCCTAGTAATACCTTCTGCTTAATGTGGAATTCCTAGAGAATTTAAGGCTTAATTAGCTTGGAAGTATTTCTCCATCAATAGCTTTTGTTGGTAGTCAGATAGTGAAGGAAACCTCCTCAAGGAGAGCCTACTTGGGCTGCAGATTGGTGTTTGATGCGTCTTCTCTGTCAGGATTTCCACTGCTGTGTTACCTAATTGTTCCTAATCAGAATAATTGCAACAATTGTTTCTCTGAGGAAATCAAATTAAAGGTGTTAAAATCCTCCATGGAGACAGCACTTGATGGGCACTCACATCAGGGAGTTTAGAATGGTTACCCCTGCTGTCCCCAACTCCGGGCAGGCTCATGTGAGCTCATTTTTGGACAGAAAAATTGTTCATACAGCAGCATGTTTCTAGGTTAAAAAGAGATTCAGGTCAGGCAACTTCTGAGGCATGCTGGTTTACTCAGGAGTGAAAGGTGTCAAGCAAGGGAAAAGAGGAAGGATTTCTGTTGCTCAAGCATTGAAAATGCTGCTAGTGAGGTTGCATACTAACAGTTGATTGCCTGCCACTGCAAGATTCTGGGCACATTGTCTGCTAGTTTTGGCTGGAATAAGTATCTGTGCAGGGCTTCTAGTCTAAGTTAGTTCCTTTAATCCCTGAGGTGGATTGCATCCTCCAGGTTAACATGGCCCAGGACCCAGAACATCTGTCCCTGTGGGAAGTTGATCAGGAATAGTGGATCCACTTTAAATCCACACTACACTGAACAAGCACTTCTTCAGAACTGTAAGAAGGAAAGAGGGATCCAGCCTGGAGAGGGAGGAGACACCTGGCTTTGCTTGTTACTGCCGCACAGTGCCTGAGTGTGCCCAGCCTTTCCATTTTTTTCCCCTTCCCGTATTCCCCTGATGCTATATGAATTAGTGTATGTGAGAAATGCTGTAGGGGAGGGATGCCGTCTCAATATACCTGTCTTTTCTCCTCAATGGAGGGGAACAAAAGTTATGTTTCCTACGAGCCTCTTTGGTACAGGGAGAGGAGAAATGCCAGGTAACAGCACAGCTGTATCGTCCCGTTAACGCTGCGCAACTTTCATCCCTCCACAAGCAGAGCTGCTGCGGTGTCTGATAAGATCATCTCTCCTCTGGTTGCCTGATGTCTCCTATCAGAAATCTTCAAAGGTCCAAACGTGCTGTTGTTGAGATGGCAAGCAAAGAGAGAAGAGAGAGAGGGAGAGGTTGGATAAGATCACAATTTTCTTCTCTCTTGATTGCAAGCAGCTTATCTGAGTTTAACTCTTGTGGCTCGGCCTGTCTCTGCAAAACTCATCCTCTTTTCTTGCCTTCCTTTCAGAGGGTTGACGAGTGGATGGCAAAGGAAGGCCTCTTAGATCCCAGCGTCAAGTCGATTTTTGTGACCTGTGGAGACTGGGATTTGAAAGTGATGTGAGTATGGGAGGGGAGGGGGATTTTCCTGGGCTTTATTGCTCTGTGCTTGCCTGTAGTCTTTGTCCTTGCAAGCCTCCAACTGTCTCTAGTCATTGTTTCTTAGGGAAATTGTTGTTGGCCGTGCATAATTGGGAGAGGAGAGTTGTTTGAGAAAACAGGTGGGTGCTGGGCATGGTGCAAGATCACTGCTTAGGATATTCCCTGTAGTGATTGAAGCCTTTCAGAACACCAGTAAAAGTTTAAACTGGAGCTTTGTGACGTTTTGCCTTTTACCCAATATGCTTTCCAAAGGGATGGATATTTCTGAGTGCATACTTGGATGATCATACGTGAAGATCCTTACCTGACTTCCTGCATTGAAGGGGTTTTTGTGAAATCTTGGCACAGTAATTCAATGTGAATCACAGAGTAGTCTTTGGAATAGAATACAAGCAGAACACAAGCCAGGTCTGGCATGCTCCAGTGGTGTTCTTATCGTTAAGGTCATCTTCATCAGCTGGGTGAATATCTGGCAAGTACCAGGTGGGGACCTGCACTGGGATCTGCAAGTGTTAGTGTATGTGCATGTTTTGTTAGAAAAATAGCTAGGCCACAACCTAAAAATGATATTGTAAGAATGGAGCTAAATGTCCAAAAATTAAATTAGTTCAATGTCTAAAATGTTTGCAGATCAGTGTCCTACAGAGCTGCATTCCCTTGGATTTGTATAATCTTGCTTCAGCTTTTCATTTCCCTGTGGTGCTGGGTAAAGACTCCTGTTGTTATCACACCAGTAAAGCATGGGCTTGACACATCCCATCCTAAACTGACAGCCACAACTTGTTAGTAGTGTTACTTGGTTTTCACTGTGACATTGGTTTCCCCAAGCTGGAAGCCTAAATAAACTGCGCATAGTCTAGGAGCAATCAGCACCAGTTCTTCCCTGACAAGTAGTCTTTGCAGAGTGGCAGCTCCTTGCTTTTTCTTTGTGTAATTAGTGAAACATGAAATATGGGGTCCAAAGCTCAGCACAAGCACTAGTGGTGGTGAGAAATTGGCTCCAGACAGAGACAGAGGGGTGGTATTTGAATTTTTGAGTCAGAATCTCGGTCTTTGCTCAGGCTGTGTTCAGAGCTCATATTGCAAGTTCCTGTGTTAGTTGCTTAAATTAGGAGTGAGTTATTTTTCATTATATATCATGTTTATGCTTCTGTTACAGGCCAGCACAGTTGCTGTGCTAAGCTTCTGTTTCTCATGTATTCTGTTTTCTCTATTCTTTACTCCTGTATTGCTGTTGTGAGAGTCCAATTTACCACTTTGTTGATGGTTGTGAGAAACAGTTATCTTTCCTCCAAGCCCATCTTTCCATCCCTTCACAGTGGGCTGGCAAGATTCCCAGGTAACAACATCCTAACTTGGCATTCATATGGAAAGAGCAACCTGGATGTGTTGAGGTGGCTTTTTTTTTTTTTCTTCAGAGCTCTACAGTAGGCAAATAGAGGTAAAGATGAGCCCCATTTGTGGTGAGCCGTAGAGGTTGTGAGGTGAGCTGGCTCAGAGGGACATGCTGTTCTGGAGTGGAGATACACTATTCACTGTTTGCAGCGGTCTCTTGCATGGATTGTCCCTCACTAGTCAGCTGGAAAAGAAGACTCCACTCCTGGCCATGAGGTTGTTGAGAGTGGTTCATTTCTCCCTCTTCCTTTTAAATTTTTTTTTTAAAACCATTAACTTCAGAATTCAATCCTGAAGCATCTTCAGGGCAAAGCAGAAAATGCATTCTGTGTTTCCAAGCACATGGATAGCAGGAGTCTGGCTGCAGCTGCCTGGTGAGTAGCACATCACGCTGCTCCATTGCCGATTGGGTGCTGCAGCGTGTAGCGTCACATCTGATTAGCACCATGCCAGGGGATGAGGCTCGAGTGAGGACTCCCTGCCAGCTCTGACTTGTCTCATTTCCCATTACTTTTATCTGTCACCACAAATGCCGAGTCTCCCTCCTGAACTAATTAAGTTTGCGTGTGTTTAGACACATTGCCAAATAGGGTTTAGCAAAGCAGAACTGAGCATCTCTTTTTAAAGAGAGAAAGCGGAGAGCTGAAACAAGGCTGCTCAGACAGGGAGACAGAGCCTCAGAGACGTGGAACATCCATGAGGTATTCCAGGGAATCACTCCATGCTTCCCTACAAGACCTGTGGTGTAGCTGATGCCCTTTGCTACCACGTTGAGACCACACGCTGGTCACAAAAGGCAGTATGAAGGGAGGTGGAGCTGTTTGTCCACTTTTGGAGGAGTGTTGTTGGAACATTGCATGGTAGAAACTTGGCTGGCTTCCAGAGGAATTGAGGACGCTGAGGTGAGTGCAACACTTCCTGACTTAAGGAGCCACCACTTGTGACAAGTTTACTCCTAACTCTGCTCTTTCTTTTCTCAGCTTCCTTAGTAATGACAGCTGCTTGCATAGCTGCAATCCTCTTACCCAGATCTTGAGTGGTTTGGAGTTCCTGTCGTCCGTTGTCCTTAGCTTGGCTGGCAAACCATGCAGCTTTGTTCCTGGCTTCTCCAGCAGTGGCCTGGGCATTTAGTTTGGCTTCTGTCTGCATGTGCTGTTCTAGAACTGAGATATGGTGTCTTCTGGACTGGCCTGTCTACTGTGAGGGCTCCCAGCAGGTGCCACTGGTAGGTGCCAGGGAGCACAGTGGGTTGAGCAAGTTGGATGTGGGGAAGTGGCTGTAACAAGGAGGAGGAATCTTCAAGCTTGTCAGTGTTGGATATAGGGATAAGGTAGGGAAATAGCCCTGCTTAAGCAAGGAGCTGCAATGTGTGTAGCTCAAACAAAAGCACCAGAGAAATAGTAATTGTCAGGGTACTGCTCTCTGCTGATGGTGTCTGGCACTGCTGAGTCTGCAGGATTCAAGATATAAACTCAGCTGCTAAAGGATCAGTAAAGCTTCTGCTTGGCTCAGGGATCTTCAGGAAATGAGGCGCTGTGTGGCTACAGACTTGATTGCTTTTGAACACTGGAGCTTCCTTGGAAGACCACAGAGCTGTTTGTCTGTCTTCCCTCAGACAACAGGGAGCACTAGTTACAAGGAGCCGGATGCCCAGAACAGGAAGTTCTGGGTACGCAGAACGCCAAGCATGTGAGATGGGCTTATGGAGGTTTAGCACGAGTCAAGGTCCTCGGCCATGCTACCAAAGGCTTTGTCATGGGTGTGGTGCACCATCAGAAGGTGCACCTGTTGGAGGGATTTGGTTGCTGCTGGAGAGAGTCTGTTGTGTGAGAGGGCTCCTAAATGAAGCGCTGATCCTCTGCTGGCTGTGCTTGGATCAACCTGCTTTCAGTTCTTGGTGTGTGTGAATCAGGCTGGAGTTGGGGAGACAGCAGCTCTCCTGCCAGCCCTCCCCTTCCCTCTTGTTAAGATGCAATTTCTTTAATGAGGAAAACCTCTTGAGTAGGAACATCACCTTTCTTGAAGGCTTGTCCTGACAAGGCAGTTCAAGCCGACAGAGTCGCATATCAACTTCAGCAAATATCAGTCACTCATTACAGAGACTCTTCTCCCCCCCACCCCCCAGCAACACCCCTCATTCCCAGACAAGGGAATGAATCACACTTCTGCTCTTGAATACATCATGACAAGTCATGGTTCTAATGAGAGAGGGCCATTCATTCTGGGTGGAAAGTTCCCTGTGTCGACTCAGAAATGTTATTAATTAAAGAGAGCTACCTGAAGCAAAAGATGAAAGGAGCACCAGACCTGCCAAGCTAAAATATGAGTGGGGATACAGCCTCGTTAGACGCACGGTCCTCAGGCCTCTGCATGCTCAGTGGGAGGATTCCTTTAGCCTGTTGCAAGGAGCTGTAGTCCAAGTTTAACAGCTCCAGGGATGGATTCAGATACCTGATGTCATCTGCTTTAGTGCTTGGACCTCATTCTGCACCTAGGTTGGAACTGACACAAGTCATTAAGCTAATAGCATTGATGTGGCATTGGGTGGCAAGGGTAACGTGCCTCTGGCGGGGCTGAGGGAGCTGCTGACTGCAGGAGGCAGGTTTAATGGAAAAGAGGGTACTTAGTATCTGCCAGAGTTGAGCCCTTGTAATATAAGCTCTTTAGTGTAGTTTATCTCTGCTGAAATGTCAAATTGCTTTCCCCTGTGTGTGGAACCAGTTTGTGGGCTCTTAAACACAATGTGAATTAATCCTGGCAACGAAAGAGGCATTTTTACCATATGTTCATAGATACAGAGTTGAAGTACAGTGAGGTTAAGTGAGAAGCCTGTGGCTGTGCACGCAGGCAGAGGCAGAGTCTTATGTCCCAAATCTCAGACCTGCACCATAATGTCAGAAGCATCAGTTAATCCTTCTCCTTACAGATTTGGATTGTTCTGTAAATGCACTGAGCACAGCCAAAAGTACATGTAAGCTTTGGTCTATGTAACAGTGACATGAAGATGCTTTAACTGCACTTACTGTGACTGATCAGAACATGCTAATTTATGTCTTCACAGGAAACTACTGCTCAGAAGTTTTTTATTTTCTTAAATAAGTGTTAAAAGGCAAGTACTCTCTAATATAGTGATAAAACATAGTGAAGTGTCTTGAAATGTTTATAGCCCTTGGTGCTCTTCCTAGGTTGGATATTAGTAAATTCTGAGCAGTAAATTATACGATTGCTTAATTTTGTCTTACTGTTTTAATTCTTTCTTGCAAGTTACACAGACTGGGAGGATGCTTGTCTTCTCCGACCAGCTCCAAGTGTGACAGTGGGTTGCTCTTTCTAGGCTTCTGTCCTGGACATTTTTGAGATCAGAATTAGGTCATGAATGGAAAAGAATTGTTGGTGCTAGTGTCCTCTGTACATGCTGTTCTTTATCACAGGACCAGGAGGGGGTCAGTAGCCTCTGCCTCAGAGAGAAATTGCAGATGGCCACTGACTGGAGTGGGAATGCTTGGGTAGTCATGAGGAAAGGCAGGAGAAGGTGTGGCTGTGTGACAGCAGGGCAAGAGGTG